ATACGAAATCAAATCAGGATAAGCAAAGAATAAGGATTTGAATAACAGAAACAAACATATAATAAAGGGATGAGATTCAGGGGCCAAGGCAAATGGGTATGACCTACCACTTTGTGCCAAAAACGCCTCTGTTGAAAAGCTGGTTTAAGAGAGACATGGATGATGGATGCCTATATGAAGACGATGAGCCTCTTGTAGATAACCTCGATCGCTTAATGAAGCCCTTTCAGACTACGATTTATAGTTTCTGGGGGGACAATTGCAGAAAATCAACTACTTTTCTTCAACTTCTGGGTCAAGCTCTGTTTGGATAGCGTTCTAGTTTTCGTTTTTTATGTACCAACTCTGCTGGATCAGTGCCTCCTTTTTTTCAACCATTTTTTACTTAATACTCAGATGACAGCTCTAAATCTTCAATATTGTCCCTCAGCACCAATAAAAAATATTCAATAAAAATTACATGGAATAAATTTTTTTGTTTGTTTGTTTATATCATATCAGCTACCAAAGTAATAAAATCAATTTACCTTTATTATGTGTTTTTAAAAAAAAAAATACCACGAGGTGTCCCACACCCAGGTGGAATTTACCATTATTATGTTATTGACACTAAACAATGGGATATTTTTCAAAGGTCGGATGAATAAGTTTAAGGTTAAAAACCTAAGCTAAACTCAATTTAACGTGAGAAGCTTTTAAAGGGTGATTAGAGGTAAACACCATACTTAAGAACAGCTTTTATCAAGGGATATTAAAATTTTAAATCATTTTGCTATTTAATAATTTTCATTTGCATCAACGATATCAACAAGTGAAGGCTATTCCTATTTGTCAGACATCAAGGGATTTGAGAGACAAAACTCTCATGCAAAAAACTCAATCCAAAACATAGAAATGGGACGGTTCTCTATGAAATTATAAATAGGAGATTTATTTCCATATGGTCTATAGCTATCTTCAAATTTCCCGCATTTCAAGAGGAAGCAAAAAATTGATGAAACATTTCCCACGTTGCATACAAGAGAAGAATGAACACAACGGATAGACATGCAATGATGTATTATTTAAATTTACATAATTTATTTTATATATAAATCCATTATTCTTCACCAGAAATTAAAAAAGAAAAAAGAAAAAAGAAAAAAAAAGAGCAATAGATGAAATGGTGATGCCACAGATTCAACGAGAACATCTATGTCAGGGCACACCGGGAATCAAGCCAAGTGATAATATCATCAAGGACTGAAAAAATTCTGTCATCAGGTTCTCCTTCAAGAATGGAATGATAACCTTCCGGGTAGAGTTTAAGGGTTTTATCCTTGCTAGAGGCCTTCTCATAAAGATACTGGCTCACTAGGGGATCAGTCACCTTATCTGCTGCTCCATGAAGAATTAGCAGTGGAGATGAAACCTGACATATCTCAAATTTGGTTAACCCATGGCATCAAATGAAACGCATCGTTTAGGAGCTAAAATACTGTCAGAAAATGACAAAAGAAGGGATGCACATCAGACACAAAATGGAACTGACCTTCTCAACTTGCATCTCAATATCCTTAGTAGCCTGTAGAAGTTCCACAGCAGTCTTCAACCGCACGTGATCATTGTAGCACGTCACATTGTAAACAGCCTGATAAGGGATGAGCAAAGCTTTGAATACTAAAACTCAATCCTCTAAATGCAGATAAAGAGAACTTGTAGTCTAGATATGATTTTCTCATTAGAAATGTGGGGAGTTCTTATTGAATGGCTAGGCAATAGATAGTTTTATGCTGTTTCACTGGTAGAGAAACTTTACTATTGTACAATAGTCATCTCCCTCAGATTTTCATACAAGTGCATTTACATTGGTAGAGGAAATGAAAGACAAACCATTTTCCTTTTTATCGGATCTCTGAAAGCCAGCTCAGCTAAATCTTTCTGTGGGATAAGCTTTGCTTTCGGCATAACTTTTGACATAAGAATTAATATCTTCTGAGCGGCTGCTGGAGGCGTTACATCCTCTGCAATCTTTCAGCAACTCAAGGTCAGAAAAAAATTCATGATGAAAATCTGCAACTTCCAAAATGCGTTTGTAGACACAAAATTAGGTCTTGCAACTTCTGAAATCAACATAATAAGAAAATCTGCATACAAGAAATCAGCACTATCTTCTGTAAGTTGTTTCTTTTTCTGTTGTTCAGACTATTTAACATATGTCTGTTTACGAGTGTATACGAATGTTGTATTCAGGGTCATGTTGAAATAATGGCAGCTTTCTTCTAACAATTTTGATATCTTTCATCTTTTCCTGTTAAGTTTGTGTAAGACAGGGTAAAACTTCCTTTAAATGAAGCATGAGTCATGTTGAATGAATAAGAAAGAGACGGTAGACATCAATAGATGCAGAAACTTAAATTCCAATACACACAGATAGGGACACTGTGAGCTCATTCCTCCTCCCAAGACTGATTCATTCAAGTAGAGTTTTACATACTACTTGAGGGTCCTAACTTGGTAGCCACAGTAGAGGCCTCCCCAGAAATGTCCTCTAGTTATTGTCTTCCAAGAACTAACATGGTGGTCTTTGATTCCTGAAGAATGTAATCCCCATGCCTCCAAATCAGCAGGCGCCAGTTGTGCAAATTCCTGACGACACCTCTAGTAAATGCTATCATTTTTAGTTGATGAACCATCTGTAGGATACACTCCAAACATTCAGGACCTATTTCTATCTTTCCTGCCCACTCACTTTCCCTGAATTCTCAACACACAATAAAAATGCAAACAAGGAAAACTTCCTACGAAGCAAGCAATGACCCAACGGTGGCACAAGATACTATTAAAAAATTTAAAAATTTAAGATTCTTTAGGTAACTAAATCAATATGAATTCTGCAAACTCAGGTAATTACTAATATGAATTCTGGAAGCTCTTTGTTAAAGTATTCATCAGAAGAAAAACATAGAGACTGAAAAGTTTGCTTTCTACATGGTACGCTTTAAATTTAAGCGAAGTGCATGAGATTACAGAACTTCATATGAATAGGAAACTAAAGTTGAAATGAATGAATCTTAAATTTTGTTCCACTAATGTTCATATTGGAGCAATGTGGGCTTACTTTACACATTGGGGCCACGAGAACAACTCCATCCCATGCATATGGTTCCTTTAAGTGAACTTTGAGAGTAACGGCTCCACCCATGGACTGCCCCAATATAAAGTGGGGCAACCCTTTCAACTCTGGTCTTCCTGTCAATCATAATTTTGAAGGTAATAGTTTGATTAGTCTAAAGTTTGCAACATCAGATGATAGAGATGCTAAGACTAAGCTAGGATCAGTGTCATACCTTTAATCTTTGTGTACTGTTCAATCACATCATCAGCTAATTGATCAAAGCTTGGAATGTAACCATGCAATCCTTCAGAAAGACCAAAACCTGGGTAGTCCATGGCATATACAGCGTACCCAGATGCAGCAATTCGTCTGGCTATACCTGAAAATCCAAACTTGACGGATTTCAAGTGAACTAAACCTTCTAAAATCAGGAACATAGAAAAAACTTTCACACTGATTACACAATACTTAATGGAATGGCATAATGACAAACCTTCAAAGAAGAAAACGCAAGTATCACCATACCCATGACAAAAACACAAAACACCTTTAATTGGAACACCTTGTTTTGGCATCCAGCTTTTACAGAAAATTTGCAACCCCCTCGAATTTCTTTCGTACCACTACAAACCCAATAACAGTAGAAATCCATACTTGCATTTTGTCAGCAAACAAATAATTAAATACAACGTAGAAAGCTACTACTTTCCAAACAATTTCAGGTAAACAAAATTAACTCTTACCTCCTCTGTTCTGATCCCAGTAGGAGCCAACTACCCACCAATCCATTCCAAATAAGAAGAAAAAATAAAAGCATTAATTACTGTTACTTAGTTTCAACGAATCAAAGGCTGGTAAAGTAAAGGTAAAGATGATGATCACAATTAAAAGAAACCAACCTTAAACAAGCAATGATCAAGCTGTTGCTGGACCTCAAGGAAAGCGGATCGAACCTGCCTGCGAGTATAAGCAAAGTCGAGGTTCTGGTTAGCGATCCAATTCAGCTCCTCACTTACACCTTCAATGGGTGGCCTTTTCTTGGCGGTAACCATTAGGCGAGTTCCTCTGGGGACTAAAAATGTGGGCTTTGGATGAAGATGGTTGATTGGGTTTTGGAATTGAGGAGGAAACAAAGGAAGCTTAGGAGGTTGGTATCTCAGAGCACGAGAAAGGTCCATTAGAGAGTTCAGTGAGGAAACGTCAAACACAGACGGAGAGCTCTCCAGTAAGCCTTTGAAACGAGCCAAAGTGCACCACTTCGATTTTATTTCTTCTTTTGTTTTGTCCATCCAAAGTGCACGTCACTTTTTCTAGAGGATGCACATGGAGCATGTGCTTAATATTTTTCTTTTGGTCGGAGTGATCCCACCGTTCTAGTTGTTTTATTTATTTATTTTTTTAAATGCTTATATATAGGAAATTTAATTATATAGATACTTTATAAGGATACGACGGCTGTTCAACCGAACCCTTTTGAACTAGAACTAGTGTTTTTCTTTTGTTGGGGAAGAACAAAAAAACTGAAAAGGGTTATGTAATATTACAAATTATGGTACGAGATTTCATGGAAAGTTTATAGGTCAAATGGAACCAGCTAATCTATGGCCTACCTACAAGTTCAACTTTTGTAGTTACATGTAAAAGGGGAGAAAAACTTAGTTGCAATTGGAATAACATTGTTTTGCTATTTTTGGCAAATAATGTTATGCTACGTGAAAGTGTTATCATGTGTGTCATAGTGTCATTCGCTGGGTATAACAAAATGGTGATATTCCCGTTTCATAGAAGTCTTTCTCATATAAGGGACATGAGAATTTTGCTATGTCCCTTTAACTCATCAAATTATGGCGTTTACCACGATCAATTCAAGCACTGGCATCTTATCAAAATCTTAAAAGGAAAATGTGAAAGGATGCTGTAAATGACTGTAAATTTTAATTGGGGGAGCACCGAAAATCAAGCCATGTTACAATGTCATCTAGGACAGTAAAAATTCTGTCATCAGGTTCCCCTTGAATAATGCAGTGATAACCATCTAGATAGAGCTTCAAAGTTTTATCCTTGCTAGAGGCCTTCTCATAAAGTAACTGGCTCACTAAAGGATCGGTCACCTTATCTGCCGCTCCATGAAGAATTAGTAATGGCCCTGAAACCTGCAAAATCTCCAGAAACTAGTTAAGTCATGCTGATGGTATGTTTGAAAGGGCATGACAGAATAGCACAAAGGGCAACCGACCTTATCCAACTGTGTTTCTATATCACTTGTGGCCTTCAGCAGTTCCACAGCTGTTCTTGATCGCATGTGATCTTTGTAAGAAATCACATTGTAACCAGCCTAAAGAGAGAAAATTAACATCACAATTTAACTATTGTTTCAGCTTCAGTTGATCAACCAACTAAATGGAGAAGTGCAGAAAGGGCTAACCGTTTTTCTCTTTCTCGGATCTCTGTAGCTTAGGCCAGCCATGTCTTTCTGGGGAAAGAGTTTTGCCTGAGGCAAAACTTCAGACATGAGTGCTAATAGCTTCAGAACTATTGCTGGAGGCATCACGTCCTCCGCAATCTTGGCAACTCAAAGTCAACAGACAAATATTCAGTTGGTGATCCAAGAATGAGAAGTAGTGAAAACTAAACAAAAAACAAAGAAAGAGAAGGAGCTTACCTTACACATTGGAGCTACAAGGATTACTCCATCCCATTTAGACGGTTCTTTTAGATGAATCTTGAGAGTGACAGCTCCACCCATGGACTCTCCCATTATAAAGAAGGGCAAACCTTTCACTTCAGGTCTTCCTGAATTGTAATACAAAGCAATTAGCAATTAGCAAATAGCAAGCCTGTCTTGTAAGAGTTGCAATTTGCAATACAAAGTGATCATAGCATAATACTATGAAGAATAACATTGAGTCTAGGCAATTTCACACCTTTGATATTAGTAAATTGTTCATTAACATCGTCAACCAATTCATCAAAGTTTGGGATGTAACCATGCAATCCTTCAGAAAGACCAAAACCTGGATAGTCCACAGCATATACAGCGTACCCGGATGCAGCAATTCGCTTAGCAATACCTGAAAATCCAAATTCGAACCGTACCATGTGTAAAACTTCTAAGTTTTGGCCTTAGATTGGCATAAATCCTTAGTGGGATAAGTGTAATACAGGGAAAATAGCTGCTCAAATTTCCAAACAAATAAGAAAAGGGAAAGACAGAGCAACCAACCTTCAAAGAAGAATGTGCAAGTGCTACCGTACCCATGGCAAAAACATAAAGCACCTTTGATTTGAACATCTAGTTTTGGCAACCAGCTTTTGCAGAAAATTTCCATGCCCTTTGAGTTCCTTCCATACCACTACGAACAATGGCCACAACAAGTTCTAAAATGATCATCAATTAAATAAGTGGAATTAAGAATTAAATAAGTCAATTTGTTTCTTGCCTCCTCTGTTCTGATGCCAGCATGATCCATCTAAAATTTTCAACAGGGAGAAAGCAAACGCATTATGAGTTCCTAATATTTTGAAATTGAAACTAGAATTCCATTCAACTGTTACAAATGTTTGAGCAGCAAGCTAGCAGCCTGTCACGACTATAATCAAATTGAACGAACCTTGAACAAGCAATGATCAAGCTGTTGATGCACGTCAAAGAATGCCGACCGAACTCGTCTCCGAGCAGGCGCATGGTCTAGATTCTGCGAAGCCACGGCGCTCATCATCTCTTCACTTAAGCCTTCTATTGGCGACGGTCTCTTAGCCGTGATCCTGAACTGAGTTCTTCTTGGGTCCAATTTTGGTTGATGAAAAATGGGTACGTGCTGTTTTTGTGGATACGTGATCGGGTAGAAGGATTTCCGGTGAAACAGAGAAGGCTCCGTTGGTCGGAAACTCAGAGTAAGCGAAAGGTTCATGGCTGTAATTATGGAATAGTTTATGGGAAGTGGATGCAAGTTTGACGGTCATAGCTCTGGTTGTAGTCAAACAGAGTGGACCACGTGCGCTGCACTATAATTATTGTTTGGAAATTAGATTTTTTTTTTTTGGGGTGTAAAATTAAAGTATAATTTGATATTCATGGCCTTACTGAAGTTTTCAGAAACAGTTGGTTCTCCCGCTCAAACATAACCTTGTGATAAAAAAAACAAAATAGCGAAGATTTTGCATGAATTGGCCCAAAAGCCCCCTCACAGACTTCTCGAAGAGAAGTTCATCTCACTCTTGCAATCATGTAAGGCCACAAAGCAACTTCGCCAAACACAGACCCAGATAATCACCCACGGCTTCTCGCACAACCACTATATCGCCCCAAAACTAATTACAGCATGCGCCGATCTGAAGCAAATGGCGTATGCCCACAAAGTGTTCGATGGAATTCCGGACCCGAACTTTGCTTTATGGAATGCAATGTTCAGAGGGTATGCTAAGAATGAGAGTCATAGAGAAGTTATACTATTGTTTGGAAGGATGAAGAGCATGGATATAATGCCCAATTGCTTCACGTTTCCTGTTGTGATTAAATCTTGTGGGAGACTGAAAAGGTTGGTAGAAGGTGAAGAGGTGCATTGTGTAGTGATAAAAGGTGGTTTTAGAGCAAACCCATATGTGGGAACGACGCTGATTGAAATGTATGCGGCTGGGGGAGTGATTGGAGCTGCTTACAAAGTGTTCGGTGAGATGTTCGAGAGGAATGTGGTTGCTTGGACTTCCATGATTAATGGTTACATTTTGTGTGGTGATATGGTTTCTGCACAGCGCCTTTTTCATTTGGCTCCGGAACGTGATATTGTGTTGTGGAACACCATGGTTTCAGGTTATATTGAGCTGAGGGATATGGTGGCAGCTAGAAAACTCTTTGATGACATGCCAAGACGAGATGTGATGGGTTGGAATACCGTTTTGAATGGTTATGCAAGTAATGGGGAGATTGATGCTTGTGAGAAGTTGTTTGAAGAGATGCCTGAGAGGAATGTTTTCTCTTGGAATGGATTAATTGGAGGATATGCACGTAATGGAAGTTTCTTTCAAGTTCTGGGATCTTTCAAGCGGATGCTAAGCGAGGGTGATGTGCTTCCAAATGATGCCACCTTAGTGACTTTGTTGTCGGCGTGTGCAAGATTAGGAGCTCTTGATTTGGGTAAGTGGGTACATGTATATGCAGAGAGCATTGGGTACAAGAGAAATGTTTTCGTTGGGAATGCTTTGATTGACATGTATGCAAAATGTGGGATCATTGATAATGCACTTGACGTGTTCAAGAGCATGGATAACAAGGATTTAATTACCTGGAACACTATGATTTGTGGCTTGGCAATGCACGGACGTGGGGCGGATGCCTTAAATTTGTTTCGCCAGATGAAGAATTATGGAGAAAACCCAGATGGGATCACCTTCATAGGCATTTTGTGCTCTTGTACACATCTTGGATTGGTCGAAGATGGCCTTTTGTATTTCCAATCAATGGTTGATGACTACTCAATTGTGCCACAGATTGAGCATTATGGTTGTATGGTGGATCTGCTCGGACGCTCGGGTCTTTTGGACCAGGCCATGAACTTTGTGAGGAAGATGCCAATGGAACCAGATGCTGTTATTTGGGCTGCCTTACTAGGGGCATGTCGGATTTACAAAAACATTGAGTTGGCAGAGCTGGCTCTTGAACGTCTCATTGAACTTGAACCGAAAAACCCTGCAAATTATGTCATGCTCTCAAATATTTATGGTGATCTTGGGAGATGGAAAGATGTGGCGAGATTAAAAGTTGCAACGAGGGATACTGGGTATAAAAAAGTCCCAGGTGTTAGCTTTATTGAGGCCAATGATGGTGTGGTTGAGTTCTATTCCTTAGATGAGAGGCATCCTGAGACTGAGGAAATATATGGAGCCTTGAGGGGATTGACGAAACTGCTAAAATCATCTGGATATGCACCAGACTTTCTGGAGCTTGGGCAGGGAGCCTAGGGTTCAAAACCAGGATAAGGGAAACATTAATTTGTTTCTGTAGATTTTGCAACCCTGTAACTTGTAACATATGGTCAGGTTATATCGTTGTTGAAGGAAACTGGGATATCATCTCTTTAACCAGGAAAATAAAAGGAAAGGTGGAAGCACTACTCATTTTATTTATTATATATATATATGCTTCAATGTTTTTGGATTATAAGAATTTAAATGACGTTTGCTACCACCATGTATTAACAGTAGAGAAGCTGCTGCTGCTCATTAGCTACTTTTCTCTGCACTTCTCTTTGATCTAGTGTGGTTTCCCAGCTGACAGCGATCCATGTGTTGTAGACGGGCTAAAGGCCCAAAGGGGTCAGCCTGCTAGTTGGGCCTGTGGCATTATATTGGGCTACATCCACCGATCAGGAAAAAGCCCAATTAACCCTTCGACCACGGACCTTTTGGTCATTTGTCTTTTGCTTCTATCACTATCTCACTGTCACATTGTTAGCCACCCTACCCACATACCATTTTCACCGATAACAAAAATTTAATGGCTACTTGGACTTTCTTTTCGTATAATTATATTTTTATGTAATTTAATAGGTGGATAAATTTATGAATATTTGAAAAGCAGTTTTTAAATTGGACGCTTGTGGGTTCCACTTGAACAGCTCTTGAAGTGAAAACCTAGGTTGTCTCTCTAAATTAAACATTAAATATTAAATGTGAAATATAAAACCAAACCCATCTTGCAAACTCCATAAACTAACATTACATGCTTTGAACGTATTATGTTTAGCTTTAAATAACGATTTAATTACCTAATCTTCTCTTAAAAAACTAAACAAAACACTTGATTATGATAAGTGCGGCGGGCCAAGGGCCAAGTCTAGATGACCAACAAGTGCAGTGTAAACCAGTGATTAAGCCAAGTGGACATACTCTAAACAAGTTTGTGTAATTAAAGAAAAGCATAACCCGTGTCGTTCACCAAAAGAAAAAAGAAAGAAAAAAAGAAGATATTTATAATTGGGTAATTTATTTATATAATGTGGTTTATCTCTGTCCGTCTCTTTCATAATGCATGTGATTTATTAGTAAAGTAATTTTCAGGGCTGTGATTTGGACTTGATGATGAGTACTAATAAATAGTCAACGGCTGCCTCTCTTGTGATGTAAAATGAAATCCAAAACTTGCTGACCCGATTTGTTCCTACCCATCAAAGGGCATTGATCTTCACAGTTTAGGAAGTGAAACAAACAGTATTATTATTATTATTATTATTACACACCAAACTGATTAGACAGATGCAAATATTTTGAACGGATCAAACATACGACGAACACTCTCCTTTTCTTCTTCTTTTTTCTTTGGGTGCAAAACTGACTTTTTTACAATGTGTGTGAAGTGTAGATTCTGACGAAGACGAGTAATAAATAAGTAGGAAAGGAGGGAATTGAATCCACATCTCTGATTTGCTGATGGAGAAGCGCACGTCACTATATTTGGCCAAATTTTGTGGAGGACTTGGAAATTAAATGAAAATGAAGTCACTAAGTAGAGTTATTTGGTGATTTTCCAACTTGAAAAAGGATTCAACGGTCAACAGTTGGAAAGTCGTTGGCCGCTCAGCTTAGTGGCATGATTATCATTTTCCGTGTTCATAGCCAGAGAAGTAGGTACATCTATCAGATACACACATGGAAAATTGTTATAATGTGTGTACATGTCTCCCGATTGTCATGCCTTAATTTAGGTACGTAGTTTTACATGAATTAGGATTGATGTATATATGGTTATGTATGATTGGCTTTGGCTAGATGGTGATGTCAGTTTAATTAACAAATCTTTGGATTCATATTGAGTTTGTGAACTCAATCACCTCTTTTAATGAAATTTGTTAGCAACTTGTTGAAAAGTATTATATATCCCTATCACCTACAACTTTATGAAAAAGTATATGGCGTTACGGACGGTCATATTGTCAAATGATATCGCATCGAAAAACTCTCTCACCATCACCATACCAACCTCTACATGCATGCATTTGACACAATCTTAAATTCTTCTAGCTTTTTGTAATCACTTTACTTATCTTATTAAAGCTTGATATAATCTTGGTATAGCAAGGGTACGTGTATTCTTTGGAGCACGCGTAGCATGTGGTTCGCTAGCTGCTTGATGAACTGCATGCGCAGTTTTGGAAAGGAAAAGATAAAAAATACTCAACATCCAAAAGAGTCCTACTAATAATACGATGGATCGACTAAGCCCCGCCACGATCAAATCTTAATCCATATCATTCCAGATGATTAATTTAAAAAAGGATATTCCATTCAATAAATCAAAAGATAAGACTGACTGAGGCCCATCGAAGCCTAAAAGTCGTTATGAGGATCCCTTCTAGCTTAAAATTCTCCTCCTTTTTAAGATATAAATCATTAAAGTTTTGCATCGCCATCGACGCCATGTCATATTCCTTGCCGTCAGGCTCAGTCATATCTACTTACTGGTCATTGTTATGGTTTGGGGGATCCATTGCAAATTGTAGTTTATTTAGTTAGAAATTTTCGTACCAAGGGGAGAGAGTTCAATGCTGATCATGATTTCAATCCCACCTTTTCAACACCGACTTGGATCTTTTGGGCTTCTAAATCTTGCAACACTTTATGCACGATCTAAAACCTAGAATTTCTGATCCCCCGTTACCAATTTTCTACATGCATCCATCTTGTTATTGGCTTTGGCTTCTGAAATTTTCAACTTTTTCAAATGTAACAATCGGGGCGCGGCAAACCCCAAACCAACCCCGAACGATACTATAGGACCGACCGACTTTACAAGATCGTGGGCAAGGAAGATGAAGAAAAAAACTGCTGCACCAACCACCGCATCAGCCCTTTGCTTTTTATTTTTATAGTCTTTTTTCAAAATTATGATATAACATCAGTATTCGTGTCGATAGCGCATTTGATGCATTTGATACGTGAACGTCTAATTCTAACACTTCTTTTATATAATCTTTAGATTAATCA